CCCCGATGGTAGGAGGCCGTGGGCGCATGGGGGGCTGGCCGTGGGGCTGAGGTTGCAGCGCGCGCCGGCGGCGAGAAGGCGGGCGGGCGCGCGCGCAAGGTTGGGGCGGGGACGCCGTCCTGGGGATCCCGGGGGCGCTCAGGACACATTCGGTTGCGAGGAGAGAGCGCTGGCTGGGTTGTGTGCCGACAACCTGCCTCCTGCGCTCCCCCGAATCCTGCCCCGATCCTCGCGGGCTGGGGCGGGCAGGGTTAGCGGGGTCTTGTCCGGACGCGGCGGCCTGGAGGCGCCCACAGACCCCTCCGCTCTGGGGTTCCTCTCGCTCCACAAGCTGGAGCTCCCTGATGGCGGCCTCCTGTGCGCCCTCCTCGTATGCGGCGTTGTTTTATCTTCTTTACAATCCTGCGAGTCCAGATTATCTACCGATGAGGAAACTGAGGCCCAGAGTGGCCAGTTGAGTTGTCCAAGATGGCACAGCTAGCAGGAGCCCTCCATCCCTTGGGTTTCTAAAATGGGGTCTGAACAAGCTCCACCCCCACCCTGTTCCATCCCCCGCACTCAATCTGGGGACCAGACCGAGCTCTGGGCGGATGTCTGCCCCGTTGGTAACCACATCTCCCCAACTCCCTCTCGGACCGCGACTTGTTTTAGGGGCTGGGACACTGGAGCATGGGTCCTGTCTGTTGACATCCCAGCTTTCCTGTTTTCCTCAACTGAGTTCCCGGCAGGTGCTTAAGAAATAAGTCCTGTGGTAGGCAGAGACCAGAGGCTGAGGCCCGGCGGGACCTCTTCAGCCAAGAGTAGGGTTCAAGAGGGCTCAGGAAAGAGCTCAGGAACCCGAACCCCTGGATTTTAGGATTTTGCCAACCTCAAAGAAACCCTAGAGCCCTTGCCCCAGGCTACCCACTTCCCTTACTTAACTCCTCCCCTTCCCAATCTTTCTCTCAAGCCCTGGGCATGGGAATCAGCACTTAGAGGCGAGGCACCCTTCCAGCCCAGAGGTCCCAAATGGGGGACCAAAACCAAACCCGTTGCCGTGGATTCAGACTCATAGTGACCCTATAGGACAGAGCAGAACTGCCCCGCAAGGCTTCCAAGAAGTGGCTGGTGAATTCCAACTACTGACCTTTTGGTTAGCAGCCGAGTTCTTAACCACTGCGCCAGCAGGGCTGCAAATTGGGAACACTGCCTGGTTTTCACCTTGAACTCCTGGAATCCCACAGGTGCTCACTTATGTCTTTCCAGTGATCACCATTAATGGGTAATATCCATGGTCAAGACATGCCCAATGCGACCCCAGCCACAGCCAAGTGGAATTGTTTTTTTTTTCTTTCCTTTTTTTCCCCTTTAATTTCCCATATTGCATGTCTCTTAGCATTGATTCATTCAACAACTGTTTATGAAGCTTTAGGCCTCGGGCACTGTGGAGACAACAGTGAACAAGGCCGACATGGTCCCTGCCCTTGGAGGAGACAGACAACATACATGTTGAGAAAACAGTGGCCAGGTACTGCCAGGGAGGTCAGGGTTAGCTCTCACAGAAGGTGACTTTTTTTTGTTTTTGCCATTTTAATTATTTTAAGTGTAGAGTTCACTGTGTTCTGCAGCCATCACCCTGTTTCCAAAGTTTTTCATCACTCCAAGCAGAAAGTACCTCTTAAGCAATAACTCCTCATTCCTTCCTTCCCCCAGCCCCTGGTAACCCCTAATAAACCTTGGTCTCTATGCATTTGCATACTGTATGTATTTCATATAAGGGAGATCATTCAATAAATATGATCATTTTGTGTCTGACTTATTTCACGCAGCATGTTGTCAGGGTTCCTCCGTGTTGTAACGTGTGTCAGAACTTCATTTCTCTTTTTGGCTGAATAATATTCCATTGCATGTGTATGCTAAAAAACCAATCGCCATCCAGTCGATTCTGACTGATAGAGACCCTATAGGACAGAGTAGAACTGCCCCATAGGGCTTCCAAGGAGTGGCTGGTGGATTTGAACTGCTGACCTTTTTGTTAGCAGCCAAACTCTTAACCAGTGCACCACTACATTTTGTTTTCCCATTCATCTGTTGATGGACACTTGAGCACTTGAGTTGTTTCCACTTTTGGCTATTGTGAATAATGCTGCAGTGAACATTGGTGTACAAGTATCTATTTGAGTTCCTGCTTTCAAGTCTTCTGGTTTGCTCTCAGCTACTAACCTAAAGGTTGGGGATTCTGACCCACTCTGTGCGGTGGAAGAAAAGCCTGGCAATAATCTGCTTCCGTAAATATTACACCCAAGAAAACCCTATGGAGCATTCTATTCTGTAACACATGGGGTCATCACAAGTTGGAATGGACTCGACAGCAGTAGATTTTGTTTTGTTTTTGGGATATATACCCAGGAGAAGGAGATCTGGTAGTGCAATGGTTAGGCACTCGGCTGCTAACTGAAAGGTCGGCAGTTCGATTATACCAGTGGCTCTTTGGAAGAAAAGACCTGTCCATCTTCCTGTAAAGAGTGTTGTTGTTGTTGTTAGGTGCTGTCGAGTTGGTTCTGACTCATAGCAACCCTGTGTACAACAGAATGAAACACTGCCTGTTTCTACCCCATCCTCACAATCGTCACTATGTTTGAGCCTGTTGTTGCAGCCACTGTGTCAGTCCATCTTGTTGAGGGTCTTCCTCTTTTTCACCGACTCGACTCTACTAAGCATGATGTCCTTCTCCAGGGACCAGTCCCTCCTGATAATATGTCCAAAGTATGTGAGACGAAGTCTTGCCATCCTCACTTCCAAGGAGCACTCTGCCTGTACTTCTTCCAAGACAGATTTGCTCATTCTTCTGGTAGTCCATGGTATAGTCAATATTCTTCGCCAGCACCATAATTCAAAGGCATCAATTCTTCTTTTGTCTTTCTTGTTCATTGTCCAGCTTTCACATGCATATGATGTGATTGAAAATTCCATGCATGGCTTGGGTCAGGTGCACCTTAATCTTCAAGGTGACGTCTTTGATTTTTAACACTTTAAAGAGGTCTTTTGCAGCAGATTTTGCCCAATGCAATACGTCTCTTGATTTCTTGACTGCTGCTTCCATGGGTGTTGATTGTGGATCTGAGTAAAATGAAATCCTTGACAACTTCAATCTTTTCTTCATTTATCATGATATTGCTTATCGGTCCAGGTGTGAGAATTTTTGTTTTCTTTATGTTGAGGTGTAATCCATGCTGAAGGCTGTGGTCTTTTATCTTCATCAGTAAGTGCTTCAAGTCCTCTTCACTTGCAGCAAGCAAGGTTGTATCATCTGCATATTGCAGGTTGTTAATGAGTCTTTCTTCATATAGTCCAGCCATACAGCCCCCTTGCCACAGGGAAGGGACAGTGGGAGGCAGTGGGTGGGCCTCTGGGACCAGGGCCCTGGATTTTTAAATGTGCTGCCCACTGTTTTGTTTAACCCCCCCAGGCAGCTGCATGAGGTGGACACCAATATTATCCACATTTTACAAATGAAGACACTGAGGCTCAGAGAGGCAAAGTTGCTTTCCTGGGGGCACACAGCCAGTGGTGGGATTCAGTTCCTTGCCTGGTCTGGGTGATTCCACAGCCTGCAACTGATGTGGGAAAACTTCCTCCCAGTGCCCTGTTAATACATTCTTAGCAAATCATGTGACCCTGGTTTTGGGTCAGAGAAGACGGTCCTTAGACTTTGAACTCTGGCCTTTCCTGCCTCCTGGACACTGACCACACCTTCTGGGCTTGGAGGGCTCTAGGACCCAGCAGCCGTCAAAGAGGGGGTCTGCACCTCTACCCCCTTCCCTCCTTTGCTTCCCTCTCTCCCGAGTCTCCACCCCTCCCTTCCTCTCCCTCTCGTCCTTCCCCTCTTCATTCTTCTTCTTCCTTCTTCCCTTGCTCCCCTCCCCTCCTCTTCCACCTCCTCCCCGTCCCTGCGGCCCCCCCACCCCACTCCTCCCCCTCTGTGGTCACATGGGGGAGCCGCCGGATTTAAGCCTAATCTGTCCGATGCTCAGCACAGCAGCCTGGCCGAGGGGCAGACGGGCTCAGCTAGTCTCTGGGCCCAGGGGAAGGGGGCAGGAGGGGTGCCCATAGCACCCCCCTCCCCCATGAGCTTGGGGCTGGAGGACTCGCTAGAGGCCCAGCTGGCCCTGGAGACGGTTATCCAGGTGGGTCCTGGGGGTTGTGCCCACCCTGTCCAGGGTGAGGGAGCGTGGGCTTAGCAGAAAGGAGGAAGGGTGGGTGCATCGTGGGAGTTGAGGGTGGGAGAGGTTGTGGCAGTGGTGGGGTGCACAGGGACCCTGATGTGCAGCTCCTGGCGGGACTGGGGGCAAAGAAGTGGGTGGGGCTCAACTGCTGTGGCTTCCTTATCCCAGTGCCCTGGGGGGTGCTTACATCCAGATTTTTGGGGTAGAGTGACCTCTCAGCACAATGGGGCCTCACTGGTCTAGGGCCAGCACTGAATTGGGGCCCTCAACACTCTGTGCTGTCCTGACAGGGTTTGCTAGTCGGTCATGGGGTTTAGTTTGCTTCTCTGGCCCTTCTGGGGCAGGAGCTCCTGAGACTCCCCTCCCATGGCGCTGTTTGCCAATTGGATTCTGACGTCCAGGCTTTGCCCGTCGTGGGGATTTCCTGAGCAACTCTCCTGGGAACCTGTATCTTGGGCAGCAGGACTTTGCTCCTCTTTTATCCAGGCCAGGGAGCTCGGGTCCCACGTCCCTCACAGACCCTCTCTTTCCCCACAGACACTGGAGAGCAGCGTCCTGGGGTCCAGCCAAGAGAAAGGCCTCAGTGTGCAGGGCCCGGCCCAGGACTCTCAGCCCACCCACCTGCCTGCCCGCATCCGGGAGATTGTCACCCGAAACCTCTCCCAGCCTGAGAGCACAGGTACCACTGCCCCACCTCACCCCTCCACAGACACTGCCCACGTTGCACTTCTTCGCACATCCCACTCCTCAGCAGGCAGTATTGATGGGAATGATTATCGCTTCCATTCTCTGAATATTCATTGTGAGGCAGGCACAGCCCTACAATGGAGGGACCCTCAGGCAGATGAGGAAACAGAGGCTCAGAGCTGCGAAGTCACTTGCCCAGACCTGCACCCCATGTGATGCGGCTAGAGGGAAGGGCTGAGCATCCCCTCCCTGCCTGCCTGCAGCCTGCTGCAAAGACTTGAACCCCACACACCATATTCCCTCCCAGGGAAGGTGTGAGCTGGCTGAGCCAGAGATCCAGGGGGAGGTCAGCTCAGCTCAGACCAGGACTTTGCGGTCGTCCGAGGGCTGGTGCCGTCCATTCCCCATACATGCAGGAAGGCGGATGGGCCCCTGCTCCTCTCGTGGGTGTCACGCACAGCCTCACTATGAGGTTTGGGGTCTGCGGAAGCCACACTCGGGGGCAGCTGGTGTGTTTTCCTCTCTCCTCGATGGTGTTTTTGGCGCTTCTGTCGCTGTCCCTGTCCAACTGCCGGGTTAGGGATGGCCTTTTCCTTGGAGGACCAGGGATGTTTGGGCCCCTGGGATCCCCAGACAGGGAGAGACATAGAGAGCCCTCACCCCAGGCTGGAAGAGCATAGAAGGCTGCAGCTGCCTGTGGCCCATGGCACGTGTCCAGTTCTCCCGAGGTAAAGGGGAGCCCACAGGAGGGGGCACCCCTGCTTCTTCTCGCTCTGGCCTTTCTTTTCCTTCTCCTCTTCTTCCTCTCTCTTCTTCCTTCTCGCCACAACCTGACCTGCACTACCTTGCCTGGCTTCAGAAGCTACATGAAACCCTTCCCTTGAGTGAGGCTTTTGGGCTTGCTTGGCAGGAGCTAGATACTACTCTTACCCATTTTATAGACTGGCAAAACTGAGGTCAGAGAAGAGTAGTAATTGGAGAAGAAAGGAACTAGGACACAAGGTCTCCTCTCCTGATTCCCAGGCCGAGCCTGTCTCCTGAACTTCTTGGGGCCTGCAGGGACCACACTTTGGCTGTGTGGGGAACACTCTTTTTTTTTTCCTTCTTCACTTTTTTAAAAAAAAATTTTCTCTCCCCAGTATTGTGTACTTCTTACCCTTCACCAAAGAGTGGGGAACACTCTCAGTCTGGCTCTGGGCCCATCTCCTGGCCCACCTTTCTGTTCATCAGCTGTGTTTGCATGGTCTAGTGCCTTGTCCACTCCTACCCAGGCTGCCTTCCAGGCCTTGGTTGATCTTCCTGCCCTGAGTGATGGGTGGGGCATTGGTGGAGGGAGGATGTCCCACTGGACCCAAGAGAAAGCTAACCATGTGCCCACTGTCCCTCACCAGCCCCGCTGCCGGCCACAGAGATGGCGTCACTGCTTTCACTGCAAGAGGAGAACCAGCTGCTGCAGCAGGAGCTGTCCCGCGTGGAGGACCTGCTGGCCCAGAGCCGTGCCGAGCGCGATGAGCTTGCCATCAAGTTCAACGCAGTCAGCGAGAGGGTGGGTCCTGCCCCCGGGGTCTGGGGCTGGGCCAGGGCTCCCCTGCTGCAAGGGCTGGGAGACAGGCAGGCCGGGTCTGCACATTGGTCAGAAGGTTGGGCCCTAGAGTCACGCAGGCCTGGGTTCAAATCCTGGCTCTGCCAACTTGAATGGCCTCAAGAAGATCACTTCTGGCCTCTGAGCCTGTTTTCTACAGTGCAGATGGTCATATGATGTGGAATTGGTGTGAGGAATCAATGAGATAATGGAATCAAGTGCCTGGCACAGGGGTATTTCATTCCCGTCTGTCCCAGGCCTTATTGGGGTGGACAGTACAGAGAACAAGAGCCCTAATAGTCACTCCTGCACCCCAGTTCTCTGGACCTCTCCCTGTGCTCTCATTTACGTGGGCCTTGGAGTCAAGCTAAAGTCCCTGGTGGCACAAACTGTGTTCAGCTACTAACTGAAAGGTTGGCGGTTCAAATCCACCCAGAGGTGCCACGGAAGAAAGGCCTGGCAATATACTTCTATAAGATTACAGCCACTGAAAACCCTATGGAGTGCAGTTCTCCTCTGACACACATGGGGTTGCTATGAATTGGAATTGACTTGATGGCAATGGGTTTTGGTTTGGGTTGAGGCAGTGGCTGGGCACTGGGGCAGGCTGGCGTAGGCATAGGCAGTGTTCCTCAGGCCCGTCTGGGTGGCCGTGAGACCTGCTGCCATCTTCTATGGAGGTGAGGCTCTGCTAGGGAGGGGAGAAGAAGCCAGGCCTACCTCCAAGCCCAGACAGGACTCACATCTCCTGGGCTCTGTGTTGCAGGGCCCAGGGAGGGAGGCTGGTGTGGACCAGGGCCAGGATGCTCATGGTGCACTATCTCCTTTGAGCCCTCAGGCTCATGGGAGGGATCCCAGAGAGTTGATGGTGGCTGAAAGTTGGTGAGAGAGTTGCATGAGGGAGAGTGTGTGTGTGCAGATGGGAGACATGTGGGTAGTAATAACAGTTGTAATAGTAGCTGCTGTTTATTGAGTGGCTACTATGTGCTAGATGCTTTATATATAAAACACCAGGGTTGGTACCATTATGATGCTCATTTAACAGAGGAAGAAACTGAGGCTCAGGGAGAGAAAGCATTGTGCTCAGGGTCACATGGCCAGTTAAGGCTAGAACGCAGGTCTCCTAACTGCCAGGCCAGGGCTCTCCATTGTGGTTTTGCTTCCTGGGTTTGTGATGAGACAACTGGGCTGGGGGTTCCGTGGGGCAGCTGGCCCCCGGAAAGCTGGAAGGGCCCTCGGGCACCAACCGGTGTGACCGTCTGATGTTACAGATGGGGAAGCTGAGGCCCAGAGAGGGCAAGGCCTGGCCCAGAGCCCCCTGTGTGGCAGTGGCAGAACAAAGGTTAACCTCAGGCTCCTGAGCCAGGCGTGTCCACACTGGGCCGTGTGTACTGTGTTGGGTAGGGGATGTGCATTTCTGTGTTTGGCCGTGTGTGCCCGTGTCCTGGTGGCTGCCCGCCTGGACTAGCTCCTGACTTGATGGGACTCGCCCAGGAGCAGGGCGGGGGTCCGCGGTGGCCCCTGGCTTTCGGGACAATGCAGAGCTAGTTTTCCCAGGGTTTGCAGGGGGTGTGGAGGATGGGCTGGCCCCAGCCCTGCATTGTCAGTGGTGACAGGGACCTGAGCCAGCCCCCTGGTTTAGGCATCTCTCTTTTTGGCTCCTGGTCCTGTGCTCAGCCCCTAGGGGCTGTCTTTAAATGCCAACTTGTGGCTGACAGTGGGACTAGCACTGCTCCTCTCGCTGCAGGGGAGGGGAAGGGGAGGTGGGAGGTGGCAGCTCCCATCTCTGCTATGACATAGCGGCTGGGGGCTAGGGCTGCAGCAAAGGGGCCCTGGGTTTGTCTAGAAAGCTCCCTAGTGGGGGCCCTTGGGAGCCTCTGGGTAGCATGCGGAAGGAGTATGGTGTTTGAACTATCCTTTGCCCAATATGGCTTGGGTGAGGCCCCACCTGGCTCACAGAGAACATCAGAGCCTGGAGATTACCTTATTACACATGGGGAAACGGACGCCTAGAGAGGGGGTGTGATAGGCCTAGGTGAGTGGTGGTGGAGCTGGGAGGAGGACTCAGGTCACCTGGACCCCGGTTAAGAGCTCTATCCTGTGGCACCATCTCTCCCTGTTGCCCACATGTCCCAGTGCCTAAAGGTGGCCAGGCCTGCCCCTGTGGCCACAACAGTTGCATGGTGGGCTGGATTGGGGGCAGTCAGGGAGGTCGTTCTGACACTTTAAACCCCACAGTGTCCCTGCACAGGGAGTGGTGGGAGTTAAGGATCTGTGTCCTGTTGACTACATGTAGGGAAGCTGAGGCAAAGGCTTCCAGGGGGCACCTGCCAGATCAGAGAGAAGACCTCACTGCCCTTGTGGAGTCCCCCCATTTCTGCACCCAAGGAGCAGGTGCAGGCGAGGCAGCTGGGAATGGGAAGGAAGGATGGCCATGCCCCCTCAGCCCCAGAGGAGGACCCCCTGGGCTCCCCCAGTGTCCATGGCAACCTGGACAGAGTGAATTGAATGGCAGGCACTAGGGCAGCGGTTGCCAGGGGAGACAGTAAACTTTTTTTATCCCGGGCTTAGTGGTGGCGTCCTCCCCTTCTGAATTACAAGTAAAATTGAAAGACTGTTTTGTGAGGGGCCAGGTTTGTGGAAAGGGGTGAGGTGTGGCCAGGAGTGGCCTAGCCCTGGCTCTGAGCATAGGGAAGGGGGTGGAGCACCTGGCAACTGCTTGGACCTCTCTTAATCACAGAAGCAAATAGCACCCTGGTTCACTCAGATGCACAAAATACACACAACACAGACCACAACCAGACCCCACACAGTACACACAGATACCCAATACTTCTGTGCCACAGAGACACAAGCCCATCCCATGGACACACTCAGACTCACGGAGCGTGCACAGTACAACCCTCACCCCTAGTCAGACACCACAGGGTTACACACAGACGCACAGAACATGTCAATCGGGCAAATAGTCCCACCACCACGAAGTACCCGTAGTGCAGACAACACAACTGTCTCGCATCTCACCGATACACACAGACATCAAGAAGCATACAGCCCCACACAGCACCACAATCAGCCCCACAAAGGTATGCACAGACCCACAAAGTGTATAATTGCCGACATACACACCACCCACCCACTCACAGTCACCCCCACGCCCTGTAGGCGTTGAGAGGGTTCCGTGGCTAGTGGGGGCAGCCTGGGCACGGCAGGAGCTGACCTGGAAGCCAGAGCTGGGCAGGCACCGCCTGTGCCCACCGGGGTCTGACAGTGAAGGGCTGCAAGCTGCCTGGGGAGGGGGGAAGGGCAGTGGCTGCAGAGGCTTCCCATGCAGTCAGGGAGGGGTGGGGACTGAGAGGGCGTTTAACAAGCATGCGTTGTATATTAGAACCTTTGTGTGCACTTCTTCACCTGTGTGTATAGGTGGGCGGTTCATCCATGTTCCCCAGGCATGTTTGGGACTGCCTGTGTGCCTTATGCGTGTGCATGTCAATAAGCTCAGATATCCATGTGTATGTTGATGCCTCTGTTATGAACGTGTTCACGTGTGTTCATGCCATTCATTCAGTATCCCAACAAGCCACCACCTTCCTAGGCACTAAGAGCTGATGGGGAACAAAAACCCAAACTTTCCTGAGCTCCCTGCAGGGGGGAGGATGGGTGGAGGTGGGAGTGGAGGAGTGGGAGGGTGCAGGGGAGGGGCCACATGAATCTAATAATCATCAACCACAGCAGGGCTAAGTGTTCTGGAGGAGAGTCACAGGGTGCACTGAGGGCCTCTGAGGCTTACATCCAGGTGCATCTGTGCATCTGTGTGTTTGTGTGCACACATGTATTTGTGTGCATGCGTGTGTTTGCACACACGTGTTAGTGTGCACACATCGGTGGACCCACCTGCATGTGTGCATGCATGCCCCCTATGTACTCCCTGCATGCCTGGTCTGTGTGTTCATGCACAGTTGCATTAGCCCCTGCACATGCATATATATGCTTGTGCATCCTGGGCTTGCCTGGATGTGCCTGCCTCCCCCAGGGTGCCAGGCTAACAGCCTGCAAGGCATTGTGGGCCTGGGCCCAGCCTGGTGCCCCCTGCAGAGACTTGTGCCTGCCTTCCCTGGAGGCCCAGGACTCTCACCCAGGGCCCTTCCCTGCAGCTGGAGCAGGCTGTGCAGCTGGAATCGGGGGAGCTGGAGACGCTGGAGCCGAGGGGGCTGGTCCGACAGAGTGTGGAGCTGCGGCGGCAGCTGCAGGAGGAGCAGGCCTCCTACCGGCGCAAGCTGCAGGCCTATCAGGAGGGTCAGCAGCGGCAGGCCCAACTTGTGCAGCGGCTGCAGGCCAAGGTCAGGGCCACCCACCCTGCTCCTGCCCGCCCATGTGCTCATCTCATCCCGCCCCCATCCCCGGGTGCTGACCATCGCTTCCCGCCCACCCCCAGATCCTCCAGTACAAGAAGAAGTGCACAGAGCTGGAGCAGCAGCTACTGGAGCGGTCCACCGAGCTGGAGCAGCAGCAGCTGAGGGTGGGTGCCAGGTGGGGCAGGGCTAGCACTGCCCTCCATGTGCCCAACCTGACGCTCCCCTTCCCTCTCCTCCCCCAGGACACTGAGCACAGCCAGGACCTGGAGAGTGCCCTCATCAGGCTGGAGGAGGAGCAGCAGAGGTGGGGCTGCAGCAGGGGGATCCTCCTGGCACAAGTAGGTGGGGCCCAGGGTGCAGCTGGAGTGAACCCCGAATCCCCTTTGTCCTGCTCAGGAGTGCCAGCCTGGCCCAGGTGAATGCCATGCTCCGAGAGCAACTGGACCAGGTGGACTCGGCCAACCAGGCTCTGAGTGAGGACATACGCAAGGTGACCACCGACTGGACACGCAGCCGCCAGGAGCTGGAGCAGCGGGAGGCAGCGTGGAGGCGTGAGGAGGAGGTGGGCATCATGGGGGCTGGGAGGCCAGTCGGCCTAGCTAGGTCTGCCCTGACTGGAAGAGAAGGGCCCTGGTAGAGCGGTGAGGACTCTAAAGTCTGGGGGTGGGGGTTGGGGAGCCCTGCCAGCCAGGTGAGCATTTTAGAAAAGGTAGATAATCGTCATCGTAATAGCTGGCTTTGTATCCAGTACCAAATGCCAGGTACACAGATTTATTCCTCATAATAAGCATATGTGGTAGGTGCTATCGTTATCCTCATTTTAAAGAGAGGGCATGCAGTAGGTAGCTGGGGTGCAGTTCTAGGTCCGCAGCACTTCCTGCCCTTCTTCACTGACTCTGCTGGTGAAGGCAGTGAACCCAGCTCCCTGTGCAAGAGGAAGCCATTGAGGCTTGGGAGCATGAGCACGGCAGCTCTACAAGCACAGCCCTTGTGCCGGCCCAGAGCTGACCCATGGGAGGCCCCACGCCCTGGGTGGTTAGAGTTGGGGGGCTTTGGGAGAGGAAGCAGGCCAGCCCTCACGGCAGCCCCTTACCGAGACATATCTTCCTTCCAGTCCTTTAACACCTACTTCAACAACGAGCACAGCCGCCTGCTCCTCCTCTGGAGGCAGGTTGTAGGGGTCCGACGGCTGGTCAGTGAGGTGAAGATGGCCACCGAGAGGTAAGATGGCCACCGAGAGGGAAGGCTGGGCAGGCAGAGGGGGTGGTTTGAGGAGACTGCGGCAGCTGTGAGGCAACCCACTCTAAATCAAACTCAACTCAGTTGAACTTCTGTTCAACTCTACTGTGTGCCAGACCCTGTGAAGATGGAGGCGACTTGTAATAATGAACAGTCACCACGGTCGTGGCAATCAGCATGTTCTAGGCATTTACTTTGAGGTAGTTAACTTTATTTCATATAATATTAACAGCATCTCTGTTAGGTAGGAACTGTAATAATCCCCATTTTACCAATAAGGACATTGAGGCTCAGAAAGGCTGAGTCACCTTCCCCAGGTCACACAGCAGTAAGTAAATGGCTGAGTCAGGGTTTGAACCCAGGATTGTCTGATTCTAGAACTCCTGCTTTTAAGCCACTAGGATCTCTGGCTTCTGCACCCAAGGACCTCGAAACTTCTAGTGATGAAAAGGCATAGACATCCAAAATTCTCGTCTGAGGAAGTGAATGATCAGACTTACCAATGTCACAGATAGTTTTGCTTCACTTTTTGTCTTTAGGGTTTGTTTGAATCAGGATCCATAAAAGTTCACAAAATGAGATTGGTCAATTTGTCTTTTAAGTCTCTTTTAATCTATTTGCCCCTCCCCTTTTTCCATTATAATTTTTATTCTATTTTAGTTTTGTTCTTGTTGCTGAGAACATACGCTGCAGAACATACACCAATTCAACACTTTTTACATGTACAGTTCAGTGACGTTGATTACTTTCTTCGAGCTGTACAACCATTCTCACCCGCCTTTTCTGAGTTGTTCCTCCCCCATTAACATAATCTCACTGCCCCCAAAGTTTCCTGTCGAAACTTTTGAGTTGCTGTTGTCAGTTTGATTCCATGTAGACAGATCTTAAAAGAGCACAATACTCAAGGCAGACATTCCATTACAATTTGTGTTCAGGAAATGAGGACAGCTTCATCTACACTGTATATTACATGACTTTTTCCCCATCTGATAGTGGCAAATGGCATCCCAGTATAGTTTGCGTTTGCACTTGGGAGCCCACACCCCCTTCCTATCCCCATCCTGTGCCCTCTCCTTAGGGACCTGCTGCAGCTGGGAGGGGATCTGGCCAGGACTTCACGGGCTGTCCAGGAGGCAGGCCTGGGACTGAGTGCAGGCCTGCGGCTGGCCGAGAGCCAGGTTGAGGCAGCTCTGGAGAAGCAGGCCCTGCTGCAGTCCCAGCTGGAGGAGCAGCTGCGGGACAAGGTGCTCCGTGAGAAGGACCTGGCCCAGCTGCAGGTGCAAAGTGACCTGGACAAGGCCGACCTCAGTGCCAGGTGGGTCTGGAGACAGAAGGAGGAGGTAGTGTCCGTTCATCAGAGATGGGCCCTTCCCCCACATGAGCTCAGTCAGTCTTCCCAGGCAGCCCATTTAACAGAGGTGGAGACTGAGGCTCAGAGGCACTTGCTCAGGGCACATCACAAGCAGTTCAGCCTCTGATGCCAGAACCTGTGCTCCTACTCCTGCTACCTGGACAAGTCACAAAGTATTTTCCGATGAGATAAAACAGGTAGTAACGTCATTCCCATTTTATAGATGAGAAGTCTGAGGCTCAGAGAGAAGCAGTGACTTGCCCAAAATCACACAGCTAGGGAGGTGGATTCTAGGGTGCCTGCCTCGGGTTTGGGAAAGCATGAAGGGTGCAGGAGCTGGTAGGCTTGAGAAGATGGAGTGGTCCCCCCATTCACCTCTGCTGCTCTCCCACCTCCAGAGTGACAGAGCTGGCCCTAGCAGTGGAGCATCTTCAGAACCAGAGTCTGGAGAAGGATCAGGCCAACAAGGCCCTCACAGAGAAGCTCGAGGTCCTGGTGAGATGGGGCTGCTCTGAGAGTGGCAGGCCGGGGCAGGGGACCGACCAGAGCCATGGACCCAGCCTTAGGACTGGGCTGTGGGGCCACCTCTGAGAATCCCACTCAGACTCAGATCCGCTCCTCATTAATTGAGCGCCTAGTGTATACTAGACTTAGCAGTAAGCACATTCACCTCCTTTATCCTATTTCATCCTCTCAGCTACATCCTCCCTGTAGCATGAGCCCCATTACACAGATGAGGAAACTGAGCTATAGAGGGGAAACGCTTGTCCAAAGTCTCAGAAATGCTCATACAGTCTCAGAGCCAGTAGGCAGGGGAGTTAGAACTTGAACTCATGCCTGCTTCCTCCCAGCCCAGGTCTCTTCCTCTTGGAACTCAGCTGCCCCCAGCTGAGGGGTATTCCTTAAGGGTACCACCTGGGTTGATCAGCTTTCTGTGTGGGGCCTGGCCTAGGTTCTACATTCAGCTCTCCTCCAACAGGCTGTGTGACCTGGGGCAGGACACTGCCCTTCTCTGGGCCTTGTCTGTTCAATGGGGGCAGTGGGGCTGCTGTAGGGTCTACCAGGCAGCTGCCTTGTAGGCAGGGCCCTAGAGGCTACCTGGTGGGTGGTGGGCCAGGAAGGGAGAGGAAGGGGAGGGTTTCAGACTGGGGCAGAGACCCTGACCACCTTTTCTTTCTCTCTCCAACCCCACTCCAGGAATCCCTGCGGCTACAGGAGCAGGCAGCTCTGGAGACAGAGGACGGAGAGGGGCTGCAGCAGACCCTGAGGGACCTGGCCCAGGTGTGAGACCCAAGGAGGAGAAAGACCAGACGGGGTGGGAGACCGGTGCCAGCAAGGCCAGGCAGTCCTGGGTCGTCCTGCCCCCTCTGGTGGCTGTGGGCTGAATTGCATGTGGTCGTCAGCCTGGGGACCCAGGCTGCTGTTAGACAAGCCTGCTAGAAGGGCGGGGCCTTTGCTCTGGGGGAAGCCCCCAGTGTGACAGCGGAGGCACAGCTCCTGCCCTGGGGGAGCAGGGCTCACCTGTAAGAAAAGCTGAATGATGTCTTCACAATCGATGTTTGGGCAGAATAAATGGGAAGGCTTACCTGGGGCTGGAGGGTTGTGATCTAGGGAAGGAGGTGGGATCAGGAGGACTTCTCGCAGGAAGGGAACCGTGGAATGTGCTGAAGAGCCTAGGATGACTGGACGCGGGGACCGGCGGCCCCACTGCCTGCCTGGGCTTCTTTGCCAACCTAACCCCAGCTCCCCTCCTTTTGCCCTCACCCTCACCCCCACTCTCAGGCCGTCCTCTCGGACACAGAGAGCGGCGTTCAGCTAAGCGGCTCGGAACGCACGGCCAATACATCGGATGGCAGCCTACGGGGACTCTCGGGCCCGCGGACCCCGTCCCCACCGCGGCGCTCCTCGCCCAGCCGCGGTCGTTCCCCACGCCGAGGCCCTTCCCCGGCCTGCTCCGACTTCTCCACACTCGCCCTGATCCACTCAGCCCTGCACAAGCGCCAGCTGCAGATCCAGGTAGGGCGGAGCCAGGAGCCAGGGGGCGGAGCCTAAGCATCCCGGGAGGAGAGCCGTGGCCCTGGAAGGAGAACCCTGAGTGTCCTCTGGTAGATCCAGAGTTCTGAGAAAGGGCAGTCCTGGCCCTGTCAGGAGCCAAGGAGGAGGCTGGGAGCTTTGGGACAGGATCTGAGCCCAGAGTGGGAGGTGCTTGGGTAGTTGAGGGTGGAGCCTGGGGAGGGAGGAGCCTGGGGCAGGGCTACAGTCCTGGTAGCCAGGGAGGTGAGTATCCCCAGTCGTATAAAGCCAGGAGCCTAGGAAAAGGTCTGGGAGAAGGAATCAGTCCGTAGGGTGAGAGGAGCTAGTCTCTCTAGAGGGAGCCAGGGTAGGGAGGAGTCTGAAGTGAAATCAGAGCGGAAAGGGGCGGAGCCTAGGGGCCGCGGGGAGCCCTCTACTGGGCACAGCTTAGTTCGGTCAGATGCTTGGTGCTTTGTCTGGGATGCTGCAGGCTTGGGTTGGAGTTGCCGGAGCCCCAGGGAGATAGGGCTCGGAGCCCAGCAGAGGGCTCAGAAGGGTGGTGAGGGCACAGTGAAGGAAGTAGAAACTGAGTCCTGGGGCTTCACCCATTCTCGGCCACTGTAGGATGGGGAATACTCCTGGAACCAGCAGGGGTCAGGGCAGGCTCCTGGAGCCTCCTAGCTCTGAGTGATTACCCGGCCGTAGGACATGCGTGGGCGCTACGAGGCGAGCCAGGACCTCCTGGGCACCGTGCGGAAGCAGCTCAGCGACAGTGAGGGCGAGCGTCGAGCCCTTGAGGAACAGCTGCAGTGTCTGCGGGACAAGGCTGATGGGGTCACCCAGGCCCGTGAGGATGCCCAGCGCGAAGTTCAGCGTCTGCGAAGTGCCAACAACCTCCTGAGCAGGTGCCTGGGAGGTCTGAGGCCGGGGGCCCAGAGAGCAAGTCAGACTCCGGGCCTAACACTGCCCAAGCCTGTAAGATGTGCATCTGCACTGCCTACTGTGGCAGCCACCATCCATTTTCCATTCCACTGGGCCTCCAAGGGGATAGGTCAGGGAGAGGATAGCCAGGTTCTCTCTCCAGGGAGTCAGCAGGAGGGAGCTGGCCTTGGGCAGGTTCAGGGAAGGCTTCCTGGAGGTAGGTTCTTAGAGGATGGGAGAATGTGGCCCATGGCCAGGACAACAGCATGGCCATCGTCTTCTGTGGTGCCCCAGCCTCCCCTTCAGCTCCCCCTCCCCTTCCCTGCAGGGAGAAGGACAGCCTGGCCAACAGCCTGCAGGCGGCCCAGCAGCAGGCTGAGGAGCTGCAGCAAGAGCGGGAGAAGCTGCAGGCAGCCCAGGAGGAGCTGCGGCGCCAGCGAGACCGGCTGGAGGAAGAGCGGGAGGATGTGGTACAGGATGGTGCACAGGCACGCAGGGAGCTCGAGCGCAGGTGAGCAGCTTCCGACCTTGGGGTGCCCCACAGCGTCCCTGGGGGTGAGTAAGCACCTGCTGTGTCCTAGGGAGTCCTTGAGTGATGCAGATGATTAACGCACTTGGCTACTAACCAAAAGGTTGGAGGTTCGAGTCCACTCAGAGGCACTTGGAAGAAAGGCCTGATGATCTACTTATAAAAAAATCAGCCATTGAAAACCCTATGGAGTCTGTTCAGAACAATGGTCCCAAATAGAATGGGAGAAAAACTAGAACAAAACTTAAATTCCTAAAAAAGGCCAGATTTATTAGATTAGTAGAGACTAGAGGAACCCCTGAGATTGTTGCTCAGGGATACCCTTTAAACGTGGAACTCAAACCACTGTTGGTTATCACCTATCTGCCAAAAGGCAGAGTGGCTCATAAAATAAATAATATCACCCGTGAGTACTGTGCTCCTCTAAATAATCATCTATATGAAACCTAACAGTCAACATTTACCCTAGATCAAAGATGAGAAGGTAAGGGGGAACAAGGAAGCTAGATTAAGGGAAACAGAACAACCAGAATGGAAATAATGAGAATGCTGACACATTGTGAAAAGTGTAACCAATATTACTGAATAACATGTATAGAAATTGTTAAATGAGAACCTAATTTGCTATGTAAATTTTCTCCAAATTCACAATTAAAAAAAAAAACAAACTGTGGAGCACAGTTCTACTCTGACACACATGGGGTCTCCATATGAGTTAGAGTCGACTTGATGGCAACTGTTTTTTTTACTGTGTCCTCAACCTTGTACCATCTAAGAAGTCATCATAGTATTCCTCAGATGTAGGATCTTCTAACGAGCCCCATGTTGGGAAACTGAGGCTCAGGGAGGTATAGTCACTGACCTGGGATCAGAGAACTGGTAAGGGGTAGAGCTTGGATGGTGGTATCAACCATAATTAAAATAGTAGTAGTCATATTAACAATGTCAACATCATTTTTTAAATTTAAAATCATAGTAATGCTGTAATAGTAATACTAAAGTTACTAAGCATCAGATGCCATTTTAAGCACTTAGGTTCTCTCATTTGACCATCATGATAACTCAGTGATATAGAAGCTATTATTATCTCCATTTTATAAATGGTGTGACTGAGGCACAGAGACATCATGTAACTTGCCTGAGGTCACACAGCTAGTTAGTGGAAGAGCCTGGATTTGAGCCCAGGCATTCTGCCTCAGATTCTAGAATTAAGCCTTTAACCACTGCACTATTTACCTCTCCAAGACATAGGTAACAATGATGTTTAGTATATGTGGTAATGGATATTATTCTTGTTTTTAAAGCCTTCGGGAGCTGCGACAGGCACTATTTTAAGCACTTCATGTAGGGCATATATCCTTACAACAACTTCATAAAGCAGGTGTTACCCCATTCGGCACATGTGAAAAGTGAGGCCCAGAGTCACAGAGCTCGAAGGTGGTGGGGCCTGGCTGTCCTTGTGGATGAGACTCTTGCCCCCATGGCTCCTGCCTCAGGCCTGACCCCTGATTTACCTCCCTGTTTGGCTATTTGGCTACGGGAGGCTGAGGGCAGGGAAGTGACACGGGGCACCTGCCCACCCTCTGTCTCATAGTCACAGACAGCTGGAGCAGCTGGAAGGGAGGCGCTCAGGGCTGGCAAAGGAGCTGGTGGAGGTGAGGGAGGCACTGAGCTGTACCGCGCTGCAGCGGGACATGCTGCAGGCCGAGAAGGCTGAGGTGGCCGAGGCACTGACCAAGGTGAGTCCTGCCTGCCCCACAACCACAGACTGGCCAGTTCTTAGGCTGACCTCTGACCCCAACCATAAACCTATCTCAGGCTCTAGGTCCCAGGCCTTCTCTCTCTAGCTACGGACTGCTCCTTTTTCAGGCTGACCTCTGACCCTGGTCAGAGACTGATCTTTTCCTTCTGGACGCAGACTTAAGCTTTGACCCAGGCCCCAGCCTGACCTCTGTTTCCAGCCACAAGTGAATTGACCCTTATTGGTGGCCATAACCCTGCTTTCCCAGAGTGTCCTGGGGCAGTGCCTGTAGCTGAGTCATCTAGTCCCATTTCTGGACACAGGTCCCGGGGTCTATGAGAGTTGGGACCACAGCGCAGAGAGTCCTTGGAGGGTGCCTGCCCCACTCCCTGCAGCTGGGAGCCCTGAGCAATGCCTCCCCTAGATCGCACTCTGAGGGGTCCCCTCCCGTGGCTCACCTCTGACCCTGCCCTGCAGCATGAGCTGGGGTTGATCTGTGCTTGCTCAGCTCACCATGTGTGGCTTCTTTTAAATAGCCACGTGGGCAGCAGGCCTTGGGCAGTGATTATTTTCTGTCTCATGTGTCTCCCTCCTTGTCCCCCCACCCTGTCTCTGAGGGTCCTGCCTCTCCCTGACCCTCCGCACTTCCTACCGTCCTGCCTCTCCCTGTCTCTCCACCTTTCTCCCTGCCGCTCCCCATCTGTCTGTCTCCATACAACCTTTTCTGTCTCTCCCCACCTCTCCTCATCTCCTCGTCTCTCCTGTCTCTCCCTCCCCGACCATCTCTGGCTTCCTGGTCCCAACTCCAACAGGCTGAGGCTGGCCGTGTGGAGCTCGAGCTCTCCATGACCAAGCTGAGGGTGGAGGGGGCCTCTCTGCGGGACTCCTTGTCCAAGCTGAGTGCCCTCAACGAGAGCCTGGCTCAGGACAAGCTGGGGCTGAACCGCCTTGTCGCCCAGGTACTGTGTGCCACCCACCCTACCCAGCTATCCTCCCCACGCAGAGGACCCCACTGAGGTGTCCAGGCTCAGCTCTGTCACATCCCCATAGCCTGTCTCGCTGTACACTTCTGTCCCTGTACGCCTGTCTTGGCCCCTGCCTCTTCTGTCTCTGTCCCTGTCTCTCTCCGTCTCTGTTGCTGTCTGTCTCTGACTCTGTCTATCTTCTCTCTCTCATGGTATCAGAGAAAAGGAGCTCCATGGGCCCTCTCCTCTTCTCCTCCCTCCTCAGTGTCCGCACACCTAAGGACATAGCCCCTTGCCCCCTCGGAGCCTCCCTGGGCTGGCTGTGATAGGTGGGTGGGAGAAGGAGGGGGGTGGGACCCCCTGCCCAGATAGGGTGGGGGTGGCTGGGCTGATCTGCTCACCGGTTCCTCCCCCACCCCAACCCCGGCCCCCACAGCTGGAGGAGGAAAAGGCAGCCCTGTTGGGGCGGCAGCGGCTGGCTGAGCAGGAGGCCACCTTGGCGCGGGAGGAGCTGGAGCGGCTGGAGCAGCTGCGTCTGGAGCAGGAGGTGGAGCGGCAGGGCCTAGAGGGCTCCCTGCGGGTGGCAGAGCAGGCTCGGGAGGCCCTGGACCACCAGCTTCCCACGCTGAGCCAGGAGCGCAGCCGGCTGCAGGAGCAGCTGGCCCAGGTGGGCCCAAGTGTTGTGTATATGTTGGGGGGCACATGGCAGAGAGTGGCCCAGGCTCCCAGCCTCCTGTATCCTGTCCTGGGAGAAGTTACAGCCTCTGATTCTAGATTTAAATCCTAATCCCACCTCCACTAGCTAGTGATCTTGGACAAACTACTCAACCTCTCCATCCCTCAGTCACCCCATCTGTAATATGGGGTCAATAACTCTTATCACAAAGGGTTTATTTATGTGAGAAAACCTGTGTAAAGTACTTAGCAAAGGAAGATCTGGCACCAAGTCATCACTTAGTAATGGTTAATTATACAGTAATGAGTAGAGAATTTTAGAATTGGAATCTTAGACTCACTGGGGACTGGAAGGGACTTTAAGGGTTCAGGGATCCAGTGACTTTTATACGGTGTCTGTCCCAGAGGGCCGGGATCCTGGCAGAGGCCTCAAGGGGACAGGGCATGGGGCACAGGGAGCCGGCAGCCTCCTTCTGTCTGTTGTATGTATTTAGCTTCTCTGAAAGTGTTAGAAAGGGTTCTGTTACTCCCAGAACTAAGAGCTAGGACCTTCATTTTTGCATGCATGTGTATAATAGGCTCAGAGAAGGCTGTGATATGCCTGAGTACACACAGCATGTCCGGGCAGAGCCTGGGCTTGAACCTGGGTCTCCTGGCTGCCAGACTAGGGCTGGGTCAGGCCCAGGGTGTGGGGGCTGTGTGATGAGCAGGCCGAGGGATTCCGGGAGTGGTGCTCATGGGCCCTGTATGGGGATAGCTCTCCCGGCAGCTGAGTGGGAGAGAACAGGAGCTGGAGCAGGCCCAGCGGGAGTGGCAGCGGCAGGTGGAGGCGCTCGAGAGGTCAGCCCGGGAGAAGGAGGTGCTGGCCAAGGAGCGGGCCAGCCTGGCGGTGCAGCTGGCGGCTGCTGAGCGCGAAGGTCGGACCCTGTCCGAGGAGACCACACACCTACGGTAAGGCCTTGGGCTCTGTGCCTCTGCTCAGCCCAACCTGGTGGGGAGGGTCTGCCTGGGGCCATACCTGAACCAGCCACGCCCTGGCATCAGCCTCCAGGGGCAGTTACTTAGGAGCGGGGCTTGCTAACACATCCTAGCTATGGCTCAGGCTTCCCCAGGGAGCATGGGCCTGGCCGGGCAGGTAGGCTGGCACCTGGCCCACAGCTGGCCACGCCCTGAGAGCCACAGCTTCCCGGGGCCAGGGGGGCTGAGTCCTGAGACCTTGGGGATTGTGTGTGTTGCAGCCTGGAGAAAGAGGCCCTGGAGAGCAGCCTGTTTGAGGTGCAGCGGCAGCTTGCCCAGCTCGAGGCCCGCCGGGAGCAGCTGGAAGCAGAAGGGCAGGCCCTACTGCTGGCCAAGGAGGCCCTGACTGGTACGGGGGCCGGGGCTGGGGGTGGCCGCACCAGGCTGCAGCCCAGACTGCAACCTGCTGAGTTCTGGGATCTCACAGAAGCTGGGAGCACTGGCTTTGGAGTCTGGCTGACCTGGGTTCCAGTCCTGGGGCTGCCACTTAGATCTGAGCCTCCTTGAGCCTGCCCCTCCCCTCTCTAGGCTGCAGGTGCCTCATCTGATATGAAGAGATGATAATGCCTGCTTTCTGAGGCTGTTGCCAGGGTGAGGGGAGAGAAGCGTGTAAAAGGCTTGGCACAGTGCCTGGCTCGTTCAACGGTGGCTGCCACTTAGCGTCACCAGGGCAGTTAGTTCCCAGAAGAGCCATCGGCCTTTCCAGATAACTGTCTTAGCCCTGCAGTCCCAGCCCTACTTCCTTCAATGTTCCTCCCCTAGGCTCTGAGCTCAGGGGCACTTCTCGCTCAACAAATATTTACTGAGCACCTACTTGGGCCATGAAAATTAATTTTCCTGTGCATGTCCACCTGAGCTCAACAGAATTAGGAAGGGAAATGCTGGTGGAGTCACTGGTGGGTTTCCAACCCAGGAAATGGTTTTCAGGTGGTCTGCAGTGCCCTCCCCATTGCCACCCCCATTGGTGCTGACAGTTAACACTCGGCCGATGTTATAAACTGCAGTCGGTCATAAAGGAGATGCCTTATGTAAAGCCGTGCAGCTTTGGGAAGTTACTCATCTCCTCTGAGCCTCCATTTCCTCATCTGCAAATTGGGGATGAGGATAAACTCTGCAGGCATGTTATGAAGATGAAATGAGATTAGGTCTGTAAAGTGTTTAGCCAGGTGCCTGACCCATTGTTAAAAACCAAACTAGTTGCTGTTGAGTTGACCCTGACTCATGGCGACCCCATGTGTGTCAGAGTAGAACTGTGTTCCATAGGTTTTTGGAAGTAGATTGCCAGGCCTTTGTACCGGCATCTCTGGGTGGAGTTGAGTCTTCAACCTTTCGGTTAGCAGCTGAGAACTTTAATGTTTACACCACCCAGGGACTCCGGACCCATAAATGTTCCATAAATAATGGAAGTTGTTATATTTTTATTATCTTCCCCATTTGGGGGCCGTCCTCATCAATAATTTTATCCTGTTAATGCCATTCTAGCTAGGCAGGGAGGGGTACAGGCCCAGTGGGCCCATATAGCAGGTGGGGAAACTGAGGCCCAGAGAGGGTGAGCAGCTTCTTCAAGGAGACCCAGCCTAGATGCCAGGTGGGCCCTCTTCCCTGTGGGCTTTTGCCCACATGGCTTACCTGGCCTGGGCCTCCTGGCCCAAGAAGAGGTTCTGACCCAAGCCTGTCCCTACCCCCATACCTCCTGCTCAGGGGAACTGGCAGGCCTGCGGCAGCAGATGGCAACTGCAGAGGAGAAGGTGGCGTTGGACAAGGAGCTGATGGCCCAGAAGTTGGTGCAGGCTGAGCGGGAGGCCCAGGCCTCTCTGCGGGAGCAGCGGGCAGCCCATGAGGAGGTCTTGCAGCGGCTCCAGCGGGAGAAGGTGTGGGCAGTTGGGTCAGGTGGGCGGGGCTCTGAGCCACTGTCTCCTCTGACCTCAGGCAAATCATTCCTTACTCTGCCTCAATCTCCACACCTGTGAAATGGGGCTTCATCTCTGCTCTGGAGGCCCTGGTGACAGCTGGGAGGGTCCATGAGGGCTCCTTATCAAACATGCAGAACTCAAGCCCCAAATGTGGGCCCACCCTGGTGATTGTGATGCAGGGAGTCCACAACCACATTTTGAGAAACAGGGATCTACTGTATAGCAAGAAAGTACTTTCATTTCCAAAGAAGTTCTGTTTGCATATGAAGGATCACTCTGTGACCTGAACACGTAGGAAAGGCAAGGGACCAGTGAGGTCACTAGAAGGCAGAATAGAGAGGTGGCTAAGAACATACTGACTCTGGGGTTACATTGCCTGGGTTTGAATCTGACCTTGGTCACGTACTGGCTATGTTACCTAAGGTCTCTTTGCCTTCATTTCTGCATCTGTAAAATGGAGATAATGACAATAGAAGGTATCGTGATGATGGGATGAGATAATCCATATAAAGTGTTTAGCACAGGGACTTGAACTTAGTAAATGCTTCATAAATGCTGGTTGTTATTATTACTGTTATTAAGATAATCTCTAGAGTGGGCCTCAGGACAGGAAGCCTGAGCCACGCGTCTTGAACAGGGCTAGCTCCAACAGAGGTTCAGGCTGTCACTGCACAACTCCAGGGGGCACCATTCACCCTTAGTCTTCATGGATTTGGTTAGATGTTATCACCCTTCTACAGCAGGTGGCAGCTAAGCATTTTGAAGAAGAGGTACCTCTCTACTTTTCATGAAGTTGCTAAGGGGCCAGTGCTGACCCACGCCTCAGCACTGGGCACCCCAAGTGGGCTGTTCTTTGCCCAGGCTCTACCCACCCACCCACCTACCCGTTGCCCAGGAAGCCAAACTCCTGAGCCCTCCCTTGCCCCTTGCTCTGCTGAACTCAGCCTCATTAATGTCTCCAAATCCACTCTCTCCAGCTCCTCTGCCACCCCCAATCCAGACCCCTTCATTGCTCACAGCAACTCTAACTCCCCTTTAGCCCTTCCCCACCCCAATCCTGGTCCCTCTTCCACAGCTATCTGAAAAACTCCCTAGTCTAAAATTTAGATTGTCCCTTGTCCCCCCTGGCTTGAGGCCCCCTGGCCCCCCACTGTCTTCAGGATCAAGCCCACTCCTCCTCACAAGGCCCTGCCTGGTATTCTAAACTCCAGAAGAAAAAAAAAAAAGGTGCCGTCGAGTCAGTTTTGACTCACGAAGACCTCACGTGTGTTAGAGTAGAATGGTACTCCATAGGGTTTTCCAAGGAGCCTTGGTACAACAGCTAAGTACTCAGCTGCTAACTAAAAGGTTGGTTGTTTGAACCTACCAGCAGCTCAGTGGGAGAAAGACCTGACAATCTGCTCCCGTAAAGGTTACAGCCTAGGAAACTGTATGGGGCAGTTCTACTCGGTCACACGGGGTCGCTATGAGTCAAAAATTGACTCGATAGCACCTAACAACAACAACAATAATAGGATTTTCAATGGCTGATTTTTCTGACATAGATCACCAGGTCTTTCTTCTAAGGCGCCTCTGGGTAGACTCCAACCTTCAACATTTCCAGTTAGCAGCGGAGTGTGTTAACCGTTTATACCACCCAGGGACTCCAAAACTGGTTGCTGTGGAGTTGATTCCCACTGACAGTGACCCCATGTGTATCAGAGTAGAATTTTATTCCATGGAGTTTTCAATGGCTGATTTTTTGGAAGTACACCGCCAGGCCTTTCTTCCGAGGCACCTCTAAGTGGACTCAAACCTCCAACCCTCCAATTAGCAGCTGAGTGCTTTAACCGTTTGCACCACCCCAGACTCCATTCAAAGCTCCAAACCAAAAAAACTAAACCCATTGCCACTGAGTTGATTCCAACTCATAGTGACCTTATAGGACAGAGTAGAACTGCCCCATAAGGTTTCCATGGCTGTAATCTTTTTTTCTCCCCCCATGGCTATAATCTTTATACATCCTTCTCCCATGTTGCAGCTGGTGGGCTCAAACCATTGGCCTTTTAGTTAGCAGCTGGGCACTTAACCACTGTTCACCAGGGCTCCTTTCTAAACTCCAAAACCAAAAAATAAAAAACCCAAACCTGTTGCCGTCAGGTTGATTCCGACTCATAATGACCCTATAGGGCAGGGTAGAACTGCCCCTTAGGGTTCCCAAGGAGTAGCTAGTGGATTTGAACTGCTGACCTTTTGGATAGCAGCCTCATTCTTAACCACTACACCCTCAGGGCTCCCTAAGCTACAAAACCAAACCAAACCCATTGCTGTTGAGTCGATTTCAACTCATAGTGACCCTATAGGACAGGGTAGAACTACCTCTTAGGGTTTCCAAGGAGCAGCTGGTGGATTTGAACTGCAGACCTTTTGGTTCGCAGCCATAGCTTTTAACCACGGCACCACTACGGCTCCTCCTAAGCTCCACTGACCCTTAAATACTGCAGTTGCCCCACACAAGGCATGCTTTCTTCTTCCTCCAGGCTTTTGTGGGCCTGTCCTCTTGACCTGAAATTCTACTTCTTCTCACTCTTTTCCTGGCTGACTGCCATTCGTCCCTTCTCCAGGAAACATTTTATGACCCCCAGGCCGGGCTGCTGCTGTTCCTTGGGGCTCATCTGGCCCTGGCATGTCCCCATCACAGCAGTTATCTCTCAACCCTGGAATTACCTGGTCCCTCCCCCTATCTCTCTGGTATGGGGTGACATGGCTCTGGCTGCCCTGAGGTTTGTGAGGGCTGCGTGGGCCCAGCCTGATGTGTCACTGTACCCGGACCTGGCGCCACAGGAGGAGGCGTGGCGGGAGCTGGAGGCCGAGCGGGCCCAGCTGCAGAGCCAACTGCAGCGGGAGCAGGAGGAGCTGCTGGCCCGGCTGGAGTCCGAGAAGGAGGAGCTGAGCGAGGAGATTGCAGCCCTGCAGCAGGAGCGGGACGAGGGCCTCCTCCTGGCCGAGAGCGAGAAGCAGCAGGTTTGTGTGCCCTAGTAGGGCCTCCATGCCCCAAGGGGCTTCTGTCCTGGTGCTGGTCCCCGCACCCAGCAGCTAGGAGCCCCTGGGCAAGCCACTTCCCTCTCTGCGCCTGTTTCCTCACCTGCAGGATGAGGGTATTAGAAGGATGTTTGTGAAGCACTGCTGAGACTGATGTTCCTAAAGCCTGGAGCCCAGCCTGGTGCACAGGGGGAGCTTGTTCATAAAGCCACAAGCCCATGCCTGGCACACTTGGGAGCCTGCTGAAAGGCAGTGACAGCCATGACTCCATAGTGTGGGTTCCAGGAAAGCTGACCCATGTTCTAACCCCTCTCTCCACCTTGCCCCAGGCTTGGCATGGCGTCCCTGTGACCCTGCCTCCTGAGCTGTCCCCAGCAACGTCCACATGCATTAGCCGACCTTCCTCCAAAAGAACCGGCTAACTCCTGACGTTCCCATAATGTGATGGAGACACAGGGCAGACTGTGTCCATCTCCTCCCCTCACAAGCTGTGTCACCCTAGCTTGTCACTTTACCTCTCTGAACCTCCGTTTTCTCATCTGTAAGATGGGAATGATGGTAGATCCTGCCTCAGGATTGTCGTGGCAAGTTAGTGAGATAAGTTGTGTCCATGTGTGAGGTTATTGTTTTCGCTGTTGTACCCTCTGATGGAACTACAGGGGGTGGGCATGCACCCCTGCCCTGGGTTCACCTGTGGTGGCCCGCTCAGGCCACCAGCCCCTGATGGGTACATTTCCCAGGAAAGTGTGGGGGAAGTGTCTGAGTGCCCCCAGGAACAACTCCCCAAGCCTGGTTCCCTGCCCCTGCCCAGGCCCTGTCCCTGAAGGAGTCTGAGAAGACCGCACTGTCAGAGAAGCTGATGGGTACGCGACACAGCCTGGCCACCATCTCCCTGGAGATGGAGCGGCAGAAGCGAGATGCTCAGAGCCGGCAGGAGCAGGACCGGGTATGGTAGGCCAGGCAGGTGGGCCTCATTGTAAGTGGGGAGGCACAACCCTGCCTGGAGGAGCCCCTATCTGAGGGGTAGGCATGGCCTTGCCCTGGGGAAGCCTCCAGTCTGTGGGGGGAGGGTCGGCCCTCCCCTTGGGAGCCCTCAGTCTGAGGGAGGTGGCACAGCCCCTTCCTGGGGAGTCCCCAGTCTGAGGGAAGTAGCACAGCCCCTTCCCTTGGGAGTCCCCAGACTGAAGGAGGTGGCACA